ACAAGAGGAACATAAGTTATTAGATAAAAGTAAGAGCATGTGCATATTTTATAATCAGAAAATCTACTCCAGGATGAAGCTTACTTCAGTAGTAATAGATTTCTTCTTGAATAGAAACAAGTCCAAACAGGATGTCTTAAATCTGAGTGTTTTTCTCCACTCCTCCAAATCTGGAGGAGCAATTCAAGCCATTTCCTTGTTTGTGTCAGTCAAATAATAATAACTAATAACTAAAAAAAATACAAAACAGATCAAGACTAACAGGTAGATGTTGTGGTGTTTTTCCCTTTTCCACAGCAATCCTCAGAAGCTAAATACAAGAGGAACATAAGTTATTAGATAAAAATATGCACCTTTCTGTGTTTTTTCTCCTGTTTTATTACTTTGTAAATTATCTTTAGGGTTATTTAGGCTCCGCCCCCTCTAAGAATGTGTCAGGCATCTGCACAGGAGACGTTTTCTGCTGCTTTTTGGTGTTTTTTTGGGGGAAAAACAATCACTTCCACCCTTTGGTCCAGCTTCTGATCCCCCTCTGGATCGACCTCATGACTGAGAACTACTCACATCCTTCACAAAATCAGAGGAGATGTGTTGTCCGTTTCTGTCGATGGCTCCTTCGGCTACTATGATAATGTTCAACCTGGAGCCCCGAGACCGACTCTGGACAACGAGAAACACACCTACCACGTGAAATCTATCTATCTATCTATCTATCTATCTATCTATCTATCTATCTATCTATCTATCTATCTATCTATCTATCTATCTATCTATCAAAGCACAAATGTCCATCAGCTCTTTCTGTGGACAAGTGGAAGAAAACACTGAGTGGTTGAAATAGTCTAAAGCACTGTGGAGGGTGTATGTTCAAATCCCACCAGTGGCTTTGCAGGGAAATCCTTTTTTAGGATAATATTAAATGTGTTTCTTAAGATTAAGATTATGGAGATTTGGAAAATTAAGCAGCAATTTTGTTACAAATGTTTTCTTTTTAGAGAGAAAAGGCCATTTAAAAACACACCATACTCTTTCTAACTCTACTATCACGACTTTTAACCTTTAATTCGCTAACTAAGGCCTATGGGGCCTGTTTCCCCCTTTGATGAGCTTGCCGGGATGTCCAATTCCTGACAAGATGGAAAGCTTTTCCTGAATTTTTTCACTCGTGAATAACATTGAACTCTTTCCAGCAGCTGCCATTTCTGGTGTCTTTCTACTTTTGCTTTCCACATTAGCAAGGAAAGTCTGAAAGAAGCACTGATTACAAACATTATGTGAATTACCGTTTTACAAACCGGATCGGCACTTTCTCTGAGGACCTGTAGCTCAAAAAAACACAGATTGCCTACTCTTTGAGATGAGTTTAAGAAGTGGTCAATGGACAATAGATCCAGAGGTTTTAGGCTTGAGTTAAACCACTGGAGGTAAATAGTGTAGAGTGATCTGATCTGTTCATCCCACCGGGGTCTAGGGTTGTCAAAAGTATCGATACTCGAAAAAGTATCGATACTAAAATGTTGTATCCGGATACGATACTCATTTTCAAAAGTATCGATACCACCCATTCTCTCAGATTTATTTATGTATTTATTTACGTTGTTTATGATCATTAACAAAATTTTAGCCTTGCTAGCTGCGGCTAATGGCTAATAATAACATGCTACCAATCAAGTACATATCCAACTCCGCCCACATCCAAGTCGGCCATTTTGATTAGGTCACCAATAGGAAGATCCCAGGCAAGAAAATCCTAATTACTTCATGGCAATATAGACATTAATTTAAAAATAGTTAAATGAATCTTTCAAACACTTAATTAAACTCTATACATGATATTATGTTAAAATAGTGTATATTAAATCGGTTTGTACAATAAGTCCAAACAAGTTTAACCAAAAAATACTTATTTCTCACAATTATGAAGGCTGGAGGGTTAGGGTTAGGGTTAGGGTCATTAATGTGGGCCATAATAAAATCAGTAACAGGTCAGTTTGAAATGAAAGACCCAATTCAGTTCAATTTTGGGGTCTTTGTTTTTATCCTTGTGGTATCGAGTATCGAGTATTTTCCTGAGTATCGGTATCGAGTTGAAAATTTTAGTATCGTGACAACCCTAACGGGGTCACACTGACGTCTCTCTACCCACTGGAGCCAAATGCAGACTATGGGATTCACAGGATGAGCGTCTGGTGCCGTCTGCATATTTAGAGTCCCTAACCCGACAGATCAGCCTCAGAGTCGTCCCCCGGCCTTAATCCCCGACTCATGCGAGCCATATTTATGAAGCGGTTCGAGCTATGCAGAGGTTCGCCTGGCCAGTAAATCCCTGGAATCGATATTTGCCTGTTTATTTATTGGTTGATAAACATTTAAATTTATTCCCTGTGACCAGGTGATGCATTGTGAAACCCCACCTGTCACGATTACTCAACATTACACGAAAAAAATAAAAATAAAATAAAATAAAAAAATCAATAAAAATAAATAAATAAAAAATATATAAATAAATAAAAAAATATAATTAAAAAAAAATAAATAAAACATTACACGATTCTGGTTATTGAACAGCCTGCGCCCTCCCACCAGGTGTGACCTTTGAGGCTTTCGGCGAGCTTGAATGCATAATAATTGGAACAGAAGATTATGGAGCTTCTGAAATCTCAGGTTACCTCGGACAGCTTCTGGCACATGCTGTCTTCCCACCCGTCTTCAGGAGGCATCTCCGGGATGAAAACCCAGTCGGCTCCACACGCCAGGGCACTGACCAGAGCCAGGTACCTGGACACACACAGAAACCCCTTATTTTACCCAATTATCGTCGAACGGATGGAAAAGGATGCTTAAAGGGGACATGTTATGCAAAACCAAGTTTTTAATCATTTGATTATGTACATTTGGGACTGTGGAGGGCCTATCAGCAGGCAA